AGCCACACACCTGATATAAAATATTACACATGCAGAAGTTGGTCCACTATCAATTCAGGAAGGGCGAGCCCATGTGTATCCTGCCAACCCTGCCATACCTGCTGGAACATACAATAAGCATTGCGATGTTGGTACATGAGTTTCTCCCATGGGAGTAAGGAATTAACATAATTTATCCATTGCTTACTAGTCGGAGAAGCCGATGATAACCAGTACCTTGCTATCAACTTCCTAGCCAGATATAAAAGTCTAGATACCATAATATACACTCATCGTTGGAACAGTTCTTGGTCCAGTGCCCTCAACAGACAATGCAAGGGATCCTGGGGAACAGTATATTGCGATACTAGAGAAATAAGTTGGAGAACCTCACTCCCCTATTTCCCTGTGGGTTCTACTCCAGGAAGCTTTCCTCCGCAGAATGCAACTACCAGATTGGAGACAGGGAGTTGTTGGCCATTATTCAGGCTCTCAAGAAATGGAGGCACCTGCTCGAGGGTTCTGTGGTTCCGGTTCTCATTCTCACTGACCACAAGAACCTGACATATCTCTCGGAGGCTAAGAGGTTGACGCCCTGTCAGGCCAGATGGGCTCTGTTCTTGTCGCGTTTTAACTACGTATGTGGTATCCTATTTGCCTGGCTCCAAGAATGTCAGGGCTGATGCCTTGTCGCGGCAATACTCTGAGCTGTCCAGGGAGGACTCTGAGCCGACTTCGGTCATACCTCCGGACCAGATCCTGGCTGCCATTCGTACCAATCTGACTTCTCCCCTTGGGGAGCAGATTTTGGCAGCTCAAACTGATGCTCCCCCTGAGAGACAAGCTGGCAGATGTTTCGTACCTGACTGACGCTGAGACAAGAGGGTGCCTACTCCCGTCTCAGAAGCATCAACCTCGAGGACAAAAAGCAAACCAGGATTGGGATGAGACAGTATCGGAGCTGCAGCGAAGGCGGATTTCAGAGCTTCGAAAGCTAAGATGGCCTCGGGTGACCACTCATGAGGATTACTGCCCTTCTTGGTCAGATCTGAGAGAGGCTTGGCGAGCGTGGAGAAGTTCCTGATAAACTTCCGATAATAGTTGGCGAATCCAAAAAAGCGCTGAATGGACTAAAGACCACTGGGACGAAGCCACTGCAGAACCGCCGAAACCTTCTAAGGGTCCATGGAAAAAACCCACAGCGGAAATTATGTAGCCCAAAAAGGCAACCTGGGATCGGTGAAATTCACACTTCTCGAGCTTACAGAAAAGCTTGTTCTCACGTAACCGTTGCAGCAGCACCCACTTAACATCCTGGATATGAGACTCCATAGAGTAAACCAGGATGTTGTCCAAGTAAACCACCACACACTGCTGCAACAAGTCATGAAAGACATCATTAATGAACTCCTGAAAGACCGCGAGTGCGTTACACAACCCGAAGGGCATGACCAGGGATTCATAGTGGCCGGTTCTGGTGTTGAACGCGGTCTTCCACTCGTCGCCCTCCTTGATCCGTACGAGGTTCTACGCAGCCCTAAGGTTGAGTTTAGTAAAGACCGTTGCTCCCTTGAGGCGGTCAAACAACTCGGTAATCAACGGAATTGGGTAAGCATTCTTAATCGTGATTCGATTGAGGCCCCTAAAATCAATGCAAGGCCTCAACTCACCGCCCTTCTTTTTCACAAAGAAAAAGCCAGCTCCTGCTGGAAAAGTAGACTTGCGAATGTGCCCCCGGGAAAGCGCATTCGCAACGTACTCCTCCATGGCCTGATTCTCCGCAACCGAAAGAGGATACACTCTGCCACGCGGAGGAGTGGCACCGGGTTGTAAGGCTATGGCACAATCGTATGGACAATGAGGAGGCAGAGCACCGGCGCACACCTTGCCAAACACGTCCAGGTACTCCCCATATTCAGTGGGCAACACAGAGTCCGAGGAGGCACACAACACCTTAACAGGTCCACGGATGCAATCGACCACACACTGTGGAGACCATGAGAGGATCTCGGCCGACCACCAATCAAAGCTCGGATTGTGCTTCTAAAGCCAGGGATAGCCCAAAACCATAGAGTAGTGTAGGGAAGAAATTACCTGGTAACAGGCCAACTCCCTGTAAACAGCCCCAATAGTTACTTCAACCGGCAGGGTCTCGTGGGTAACCTGCGACGGTTGCAAAGGCCTGCCATCTATCGCCTCAAGGGCCAATGGAGTAACTCGAGCCTGCAGAGGAATGGAGTACTGGGCAGCAAACGAACTGTCCATAAACAACCCGTCAGCACCAGAGTCTACCAACGCCTGGGGCGTCACCGAACCCTCCGCCCAAGAGAGGACAACGGTGATTAGCGGTTTATCTTTACGGGAAACCGGGGATAAGGAAACTCCACCCAAGATCTGCCCCCGACAGGATCTCAGATGCGAGCGTTTCCTGGACGGACCGGACAGGACTGCAGAAAAAGCCCACCGAGACCACAGTACAGGCATCAACCGTCCCGATGCCGAGAGGCCCGCTCCCCCTCGGAAAGGCAAGCAAATCCCAGCTGCATGGGCTTACCACCAGACAAACCATCCCCAGGAGGCGTGGGAGGAGAGGGAGGAACGGGTGGGACAGAACACGTAGGCGCCAATCGGTTAGGAGGCCTCCGCAGACGCTCCTTAAATGAAGGCCTCTCTCTGAGCCTGGTGTCAATCAGGATTAGGAAGGAAACGAGTGCCTCAAGCTCCACAGGCAATTCTTTGGCTGCAATCTCATCCTTCAACGCATCTGAGAGACCATGAGAGAAAGCAGCCACCAGAGCCTCATTGTTCCAACCCACCTCTGCCGCTAGGGTACGAAATTCTATGGCGTACTCGGCAATGGTTCATGAAGCCTGATGCATGGACATTAGCAGTTTAGCAGCAGAGGCGGAGCGAGCAGGCACATCAAATACCCTACGGAAGGAGGCAACAAAACCGGCAAACTCGTGAATCACAGGATTATCATTCTCCCATAAGGGATTTGCCCAGGCCAAGGCCTTGTCCGAGAGCAACGAGATTAGGAAGCCCACCTTTGACCTCTCCGTAGGAAAAGCGTGGGGTATCAATTCAAAATATATGCCCACTTGGTGAAGGAAACCCCGACACTGACTCGGCTCACCCCCAAAGCGCTGTGAAAGGGGGGCTGAACCACTCATGCCTCTGGGCACCGCAGGTGCGGCAGCAGATGCAGAGGTAAGTGCAACAACCGGAGCAACAGTGGGAGCGACCATAGGAGTGACAACCGGCCTAATAGCACCAGGAGCAAGGTGCACTGTGCGTGCAAGCAGGGTTTGCAACGCCTGAGCGAACTGATCCAACAAGCAATCCTGCTGATTAAGTCTTGCAACCAACATAGGGAGCGAGGGCGTACCTGCACCGTCAGGATTCATGGCATTCGTGTCGTGTCAGGGAGCGAGGAGCCAGACACACAAGGAGGTGCAATTAAAAGTAGGTTTATTAATATAAATAAAAGAAAAGAGTCTATGCAAGTCCAACAGCAGAAATCGTAGCCAAAGCCGGAATCAGGAGCCAGGAAGAATCGTCGCCAGAGCCGGGATCAGGAGCCAGGAAGAATCATCACCAGAGCCGGGATCAGGAGCCAGAAAGAATGGTCACCAGAGCCGGGGTCAGAAGCCAGGAGTCTTAGCCAAAGCCGAGTCAGTATCCAGGAAAGCAATGAGTAGCTAAACAGGAGCTTGTTGCTGTGCAAGAGACAGGGCACGAATGCAAAGAGCAGCTGCAGACAGCAGGCTTAAATGTGCTAAGCCACCACCTCCTGGAGGAGGAGTCGCAGAGGCTTGAGAGCATAAAGAATCCCATAATGCTTTGCAGAAACCTAAGATGGATGCCAGCACATGGAGCAGCACAAGCTCTGAGGAAAGGTAGAACCTTGACACCCTCATTCACTTTCTGTGTTACAGAGCACCAACACTTACATGAATGCCAGATCTTAGTCCTATTATAAAGAAATTAGTATAAGTAGTGAAATGCTTGTGAATATAATAGACATGAGCCATTTAGTCATCATTTTATTTTATTGTAGTTATTTTGGTTAATTTGTGTCTAATATTGTGAATTCACACTGAATCAACAATATATATTCCCCTTCGAGAGCCAAAAGAGATAAAACCCTCAGATTCTAGATACACAGCACACTACCTTTGGAACTGGTTTGAAGAACACAATTATTCTTTTTTTTCTCTATTGTTTGAACTAATTGTACTTTTCAACCGTACTGTGCAAATAACTATTTAAAATTCCTCAGCAATTAATTATTATAGACAGAAAGAGGACCTAATTAAAATACTGTGATCAGAACAGAGGCGTTCTTTCAGATGCATATTTGCAAGGCAAAGTGGTATTAAACATTATTAAAGCAAACATTTATGATGTTGCAGCTTACCAATTCTTAGATTTGATGGCTGCATTCATTTTCTTATTGTAGTCTTTCTTTGGTTTATTTTCAAGTGGTAAATCTGTAGGCCTGTTGTTGTTCAACAGGACAAGCTGTCCTGCAGATTTGAAAGTTAAAAGTGTTGAGACAAACCATTTACCTCTGACAGTGTTTACAATGATCAGTTTTTATTTATTTATGTAAAAACCTTTATCCTAAAAGAAAAAAAGCTTGCTGTAACTGGTTATGTAACTCCAATACATGAGGTGTGTTACTGGCTATATCACCAGGAGAAAACAGAGGAAAAAGCCTAAAAAATAAAACTAATGCAGCTACCACATTTAATGATTCGTAAGCTGTGATATTTTACATTTTTGTTTTAGGGTTTAATACCCAAAACTATCACGTTGCCTCTGGAAATGTTCCAAAACATTTCTTTGGGATATGTTGATTGTGTGCTGTAGGCAGTATTTTGCGCCCTAGGCAAGACCAGGTTCTTTTGCCCGTCCCAAAAAAAAAAAGATGAATAAATTAAAAAAAAAAACAGTAGAAAATATTAAATCAACAAAACATGGAACTGCTACATTTTTTTTAATGTGCAAAAATAAGCGCCATAAGATGCCACCAGCACCAATATTAAGGACAAAATCAGTGTCACGGACAGACTGTATCTGTGGCTGGCAGTGGCAGGGTCACAATTGCAGTGAGTGGAGGATGATGGATCCACACTCTGACAGATCCCAGGCTGGAATTCTCCAGGCAATGGGGGGGAGGTAAAACACTGGGACAGCAGGCAGCCCAGCCCACACACATACAGATAACACCTGAATTGAGTGATCCCACACAGTGTCAGATCCGACACAACACACCACCACTGACACAGATCAGCAGGCACTAGAAGAGCAGCCTTTGGGATCATGATGTCCTTTCTTCCTCCCCTCTGATGCCCCTCTCAGCTGGAGGATCATTCATGATGTGGGGTGTCACACAGAGAGAGTGCCAGCCTGTGCTGCACCCAGGTGCCCCTAGGTGGCAGTGCGCCCTAGCTGGACGCCTAGTTTGCCTAGTGGAAGCACCAGCCCTGGCTGTAGGATCTATGTTGGTCAAAGCACACACATTTTATTCTTGATCATCACTCTTGTGCAGGGGCGGACTGACAACTCATGGGGCCCCCGGGCAATAGGGGATCATGGGGCCCCTGTGTCCTTGCCCAAACTCAAAAAAGCCTATGAAAAATATACCAGGGGCATCTCATGGGGCCCCCTACTGACCCTGGGCCCTTGGGCAGTGCCCGAGTTTCCAAATGGTCAGTCCGCCCCTGCTCTTGTGTACAGGTCCCTGAGTAGATTTCGAGAGGGTGAGCTGACTTTTTGTCATAAAACCTCTGTACATGTGGCTTTGTTCTTATCTTTGACAGTTCTAGCACTGGAACATAGCAAGGTTAACCCATATCAGTTTAGAAGTACGTCAACAGAGGGGAGATCTAAACTCTGTCAGAACAACTAAAGACATCCCATGAGTGTAAAGATATGTAACTGGCAATTATCTTCATACTGACACACTCTTTAATCACTTTTTTCCCTTTGCTTCTGATTCATAGTACTTAAGTGTCTTTTCTGAGAAAGCTTTTTAAAGTTTCCATGATACAGACTAGTTTACAATAGGGGACTGTGTAGGAAGACTACTCACTGATACAACTTAAGTATTAGATCTAAACATGTATGACAGTAAAATGATTAATTATACCCTATTATTTTATATCCTTTAACAAAGAAGTTTATGATGCATACAAAATGTCAAGTAGTCTTAAAAGGTCTCACAAGCCTAAACAATTCAAAGTAAGGGGCCAGGCCTGATTTTTACAGGCTGTAAAATATCGTATTGTCTCGATATTTTATTAACTTGTATTGGTGAGAAATGTTTATATAGAAAGTCCTTCAACTGCTTGTATAAACTCAAAAAGATGATTTAATAATAACGTTGCATAAAATTAGAAATAAAATATTGGCATACAGAATGTTTAAATAATGTCCAAAAAATATAGTTAAGTTCTTGATAATAAGATTGTATATATGTATATGTGTGTAAGTGTGTGTGTCTCTCAAGGCTTCAAGCAATGTGAGCATAAAAAGTCTTTGTTCTGCAATCCAGAATCCAGAGTGAGCAATCCAGCCCCCACCAACCTAAAAGTGGGTTGGTATTCTCTTGTAGTTCTACTAAGATAATTGCTTCTCTCAAAGTCTGAGTGTAACTTTATCTCTTACATAGATGGGGGAGGATGGGGGAAGGTATAGCTAATTGCTCTCATATGTGGCTTGAATGTAAAGGAAAAACCCAAGATATGTATATTCACAGACTATGAAGTCTAATTCCTTACTTTTCCCAATCTAGAACAAATATAAATATAATAACTCAATTATTCTATTAAGATCCAACTCATTCATACTTATGTTAGTACTGTTAATAAGAAGATATTAGATATTTAGGTTAAGGAAAGCTTCTAACACAGGCATAGTTGCCTGTAAATTCAGTTGCTTTTCTTTCTCGATCAAATATTTGTTTTGCAGTGTGGTTTTCACTGAATATAGCATCTGCTTATGTATTTTTTCATTATATGCTCAGTTGCAATTTGTCAATGTTTGTGATTAATTTTAAAGGAAGTAACCAGGTTCAGACCACCCCCCGCAGATATACTGTTGCAGGTAGGCCGCTCTGTGCTGGATCACATATCTGTTACGCGATCCGTCTCTTTCGAGTAGGGCGCACATGTGCCGCCCTGGATGTGCTGTGATTTGTTACAGCACAAGCCGATCAACGGGTCCTGACCAATAATTTATGGATGACAGGAGAGAGCTCTGTGATTGTAAACACAGAGCTTTCTCCTGACAGAGGTCATGTGCCGGGTTTTGTTTCTCTGCAAAGCAAGGAATAAAAACCATCACATTCCTTAGTAAAATCAGCACACAGTAAACACTTTACACTTGTTAGGCACACAGTTAATCCTTTGATTGCACTTAGATATTAACCCCTTCCCATCCAGTGTCAGTGTATATTAGCACTGATCACTGTTTTAGTGTCACTGGTGATGTCAGTGTCATTTAGTCCGTTCCCACACAGCGTCATTTAGTGTCAGCTTGTCCCACATACTATCACATGCTATAAGTCGCTGATTGCCGCCATTACTAGCATAAAAGAAAAAAAAAAATTCTAGTATATATCCCATAGTTTGTAGAAACTATAGCTTTCACACAAATCAATTCATATATGCTTAATGGGATTTTTTTTTTTTACCAAAAATATGTAGCAGAATACATTTTTCCCTAAATTTATGAAGAAATTAGATTTTTTTAAAAAAAAAAGTTTCGTTTATATAGTAAAAAATAGAAAACCCAGTGGTGATCAAATACCAACAAAGGAAAGCTCTATTTGTGTGAAAAAAAATATATAAATTTAATTTGGGCACAGTGTTGCATGAGCGCTCAATTGTCACTTAAAATAGCGCAGCACTGAATAACAAAAAATGGCCTGGTCATGAAGGGGGTAAAATCTCACAGAGGTCAAGTGGTTAAAAGGCAGTGTGCAGTTATTTGCGCAAAGGGTTTTTGCTAGAAATGTCAACTTTGAGAAATGAAAGTATGAAGACTACTGTAGCTTTGACAATGAAGAACCCATCAGAACAGAAAGATGGGAGCTGCCTTTTTTTTAACCATTTAATTTTCCACACCTGTATGACCCTTTTGGACCAGAGCAATTTTTTTTTACATTTCAGCTACCTACCTATTGATTTGGTAATAACTATGTCATTACTTACAATACCAAAGTAACACATATATTTTTTTTTCAAGACAAACAAGGCTTTCTTTGTGGAAATATTGTAGTGTGCATATGATGTAGTGCTAGACCTTGTTGGAGATGGTTAAGTCGACTCGTGGAGGGTCCTTGAAGAGGGTCCCTTAAAGCATGTGAAGATTGTGGAGGTAAGTGAGGAGTGCTGTGGATGAATAGCAAGTTTTAGAAACTCCAGCCTTTTGGAGAACAATGATCACTTTTTGGATTTGTGACATAAAATATAGCCAAAACATTTTTGGGTATTGAGAATTCCCTTTTTTGTTGTTCTGGAGTGTCTGTTGCACCTACAGATTGCCACTTATCATTACTATAATAGGACACAGACTGCAGTGCCCACAATCAAGAAATGTAATGCTACCAAAATGGCATAGAATGGTGGGCTCAAATCTTCCAATCACTTTGCTAGGTTTTATATCATGCATCAATAAAGTAATAATTGTTCTCCAATGGGCTGGAGTTTCCAAAACTTGCTATTCATGTATGGAGCTTCCCAACTATCTACATACATTTGGAAACATTGTCTTGCACAAATTATTTACCTTTTTCTTCTAAAATTGAATCGATGTAACAAAAAGAAAAAAAAAACAGTTTTTAAACACCTACTTTATCTGTAGATAGAATATGCAAATAGCGTGTTATTCTGTGAGTATCTTATTTATAATGAGATTAAAATTACACTTTTGTTAGAAGGCATGGTAAGGTTATTTACAAATTAAATAAGGATCTGTGTCAGCAGATTTTGGGTTTGTGTCAATGGCACCAGTTTGACACCATTTTGAGATGCTTCTGAGCCAATTTACAATTCATTAACTGGTGCATTTGACCTGCAGTTGATCTCCTTCTGACCTGCATTCACACTACCTATTGCAGGCTTTCAATTCGCATAGCATTCTGTAGTTCCTAACTCTCCAATTTTAAGAGCCCCCATAGTAGAGTCACATGTATTTAATGGAAAGACCAAGGGCAGATGGACATGAGGGAGCCCACCCCTCCTTAAAGGTACAGGAGTGCACCGGAAACCCAGCATGTAGCACAATGTCAGCTAAGGTGTCCAGTGCGCCCCCTCACCAACAATTCAACAGTACAAAAAATGGCCACTGCCCCAGTCAATAACTGGCAGTGGAGAAAGGCAGGAGAGGAGCAGTGTATACAGTGAGATACCGCTAAATGTCACTGTTGGTTTTTAAATGTAATTAGCTGCTTTTTTTCCCTTCACTATAGCTCCAAAGATGAGCTGTTAGTCTCATCTCCGCTAAAGGAAACTAAGGGGCGGGGTCACTGGGTAATGTCACTGGGTGACCCCTCCCCTTTGTTTCCTTTAGAGGCATTGTTTCTGCACCAGAAGTTTCACTTTAGTGCACCACTAGTAAGAATGATATCCCTGGAATATGCACCTTTACCTTTCATGATATTATGCCCTGGAGTGAAAGAGAAGAAGAGCTCCTAAAGGATTAGTAGAACTTTTGGAGGAATGAGGTGAAATAAGCAGTGAGAATGGAAAAAAGTTCCCAAAAGGTTCAAAGGGTTCTAAATTTAAACAGAAATCTAAAAAAGATGTGCGCATAAAGTTACATCATTTGTTTACTTACTGTATTTATGGAAATGGTGGCAAAGAATATCAAATTAACAGACTGGTCTGCAGAGAAAAGGGATCATTTCACAGTAGGTGAGAGAAAATTCCTAAAAAAGTAATTAAACCGAGCGACAAGGGAGGGAATGTGGTCCTTGATGGCTGCAGAATATTATGAGGTGGAAGCCTCATGTCAACTGAATGAAAGAAGGTACTATTCCCCTGTCTCCCTTACACTCCCTTATCGCTAAAATGAATGGACTGTTGATTCAAAATTGGCAAGAGAAAGTAATCATAAAACAAGAAAAATATTACATGTGGGTAAAGAATTCAATGAACTGGTGTTTTACTTGATACCTAAAGTCCACAAGAATCCCAGTAATACCTAAAGCAGACCAATCATTTCAGCAATTGGCAATCCTGCTGAACGAGTTAGAAAATGTATTGATGGTACCTTGAAGTCCTTGGTACAATGTCTTCCTTCCTTCCTATTGGATACAGGGGATATACTGAGGA